ACTGAGGTTATCTGCCCCTGTTCTCCAAATTCATGCAAATCGTCTAGGATACCATGTTTCCATGTTGTATCATATCCGTTGCCGGGGGGCGAAAAAGATTGATATATTATGTTGACAAAACATTTTTTAATAAATAATTATAATCACACTAAATGATCAATGGTACTCAGGAGGTTATTGGTGTCCAAATACCAGACTAATCGATTGTTGACCATGCGCTCACAAATGGTTTTACAAACACAGCTAGTTAATAATACTGAACTGTAATTGGATATATCTGTATGATCCTGGCCAGAGGCTTTGGTATAGGAATAATAACAGCATTATGCCACGAAGGAGGGTAATTTCTGGTTGTCCATATTTCATCAAATATATTAAGTAGAGTTTCCAAACATGAACTGGGCTTGTTCATATAACAAGCTTTCATACTCATATAACAAGCTTTCATACTCATATAATACGCTTTTATACTCATATAATACGCTTTTACACTCATATAATACGCTTTCATACTCACATAACATGCTTTCATACTCATATAACACGCTTTTATACTCATACAACAAGCTTTCATACTCATATAACAAGCTTTCATACTCATATAATATGCTTTTATACTCATATAACAAGCTTTCACACTCATATAACAGGCTTTCAAACTCATATAACAGGCTTTCATACTCATATAACCAGCTTTCATGTTCGTATAACACGCTTTCGTACTCATATAACAAGCTTTTATACTCAAACCGTAAGGTGTTATACTCCTACAAGAAGCTTTCATACTCCTATAACAAACATTCATACGCATGTCCCAAGCTTTTACACTGATATAACACGCATTCATTCTCATGTAACAAGCTTTGATACGCATACTATAAGGTTTCATCTGATACACAAAAGCTTTCATACTCACATAACAAGCTTTCATAATCATATAGCACGCTTTCATACGCATCCAAGAAACTGTCATACTCATATTACAAGCTTTCACACTCAAATAACAAGCTTTCATACTCATATAACAAGCTTTCATACTCCGAAAACAAGCTTTTATACGCACATGACACGATTTCAAACTGATATTACAAGCTTTCATACTCATATAACAAGCTTTCATACTCATATAACAAGTTTTCATACTCGTATAACGAGCTTTCATACTCATTTAACAAGCTTTCATACCCATATGTAAAAAGAGATTAATTCTAACTGTGTCACAAGTGAAGAAAAATCCTGTGAATATATCAGAATAAGTAACTATGTTAAGTCAACAATATGTAAATATTGTTTCAACTGATGAAAGCACAAATAACAGGAAAATATATAGATGGTTTTCTTCCTTTTGTAGGTAACGTGTGTGATTCACATCAGCGAATCCTGGAAGCAAACTAATAATTTCCGGTCAGCCGTATATAAGTTACATGTGAACAAGCAAGTCTAAATGTTAATCATGCTGTGTTCATTTAACAGTATGTAAAAAGTGTTTCATTTAGTAAACGAGGAAACAACACACACATATACGGGTGACAACCCTGGACGGACACCTGAATATTTCCTTATGATTTACATTTTCTGGATGTCTTCATTCAACCGAACAAGGTGAAATTGTGACACGTTGTCTTTTTCATTTGTTGCAATTAACAGTTAGAACTTCGATAACATCATCAATTTGATGTACTGAATAATACTGATAGACAAAGCAGAAATAATTAATGCAGATGCACAGTGTGTTATTCTTTTCTGTGTTATTGTATACTTATATTTCGTTATGCGAAATCATTTACCCGTCCATGTCTGGCGTCAACGTATATGAATAACAACACAGATCATACGACGCGAAATACGCTGCAGTCGGAAAGCGCACGTAAAATCTCCAATATAAGTAATTTAAGTAAGTCATACGACGCACATTTTGACTGTGAGAGAGGACGGGACAACAGTCCGGCCCGTCACAGTCAGCAACGCATCTACGTTGTTCCCACTGACGATCATGCCAGTGCAACACCTCGTATGCATGCATTCACATGTCAACACTTGGTTACTCGATTCGACTACAAATCATCTTTGTCTTCAGAAACATGAATGCGACAGCAATTCTATTGTATCAATAACGATCACAGGGAGAAATTAAATATGTATTTCTAAACATGTTAAGTAACCAGAATATATCTTTGTGTGTGGTTATTATAACGCTGTCAGATTTGGCTACAGATAGTATAGACCACAAATTATTCTCTTCATCACAACTGCTTTACCCGTTTTGACCTGTGCTCTTACGCGGCTTAGCTCCAACTGAAATCTGTTTCTTATACAGTGGCGACGCAACATATACGCAAAACAACAGTTGTTATTAATTGCCTTTCGCGGCAATCCATCGGTCTGTCCGCTAGAGTAACTGCCCTTTGTCAAAGGGAAGCTACTCTAACCCTAGTCTGTGAGACGTCACGGCCACGGTCAGATGTTGTTGACAGTCGGTCTGTCCTGTCATAACGTGAAGAAGTGTAGTCAAATGTACACCAAGCGACAAAACGAAACAAGGTAACAATTCAAACATACTTCGGCCAAATCCAACTATTTTAATTTGTGTTGAAGGTTTCAAGCCGCAGAGGTCTACAAGCACAGATATGGCTACTGGTCCCGCTTGGCTAGGCCTCGTGCCCTCGCAAAATTGTTTCGAAATTTATATTTCCAAAGTTGCCAAAACTTATAAAATGCCTTAGCTACGTCACAGTTAGATGCTGATTTTCAGCATATTAGAGTGTTCTGTTGATAATGATAGCCATTATGCCTGTAGTTTATCCAGATTCCCGATGGTTAATTCTGACTCGATCGCCGAATGACGAGGGCGACGCCATGTTTGTTTATAAACAGTGAAAGTAGTCCTACTTGACCTTTGATATTTGCATCTCTATCAGCATATGACCTCAACGGATATCGTTTTTATCCGTTGGCTTTATCCTCCCGAGAAACCTACCCATTATATGATACATATAGTTACACGATCTTTCAAGGTTCAGATATGAAACCAAATGCCATCTGTTGCCGCACCCAGCAATATTAACAAGATGATATGACGGCTATCCCTCCACCATCATCTGAATCATGTGAGGTATATATTATTATACTTTGTCCTTTGATGTGTAACGCCGAACTCATCAGAATTCTAGCTATGTGTAAATAAGTCTGGACCAGGCAATCCAGTGATTGACATCATGTGCATCGATCAACGCAATGGGGATTTGATGACATGCTTCAACCAAGTCTGCGATCCTGACCACCCGATCCTGTTAGTCGCCTCTTACGACAAGCATGGGTTGCTGTTAATGTCTAACTAGGATTTTCACTGACCATCTGAAATTGACTGCGGACACAATATATGAAATGCTATACTTCCCCATAGATAACATCACTATGAAATTTGGGATTTGACATGTTGGCAAGAAGTGGTCATTCTGGTGGGTACTATTTGTTGCACCATCATTGCCTATCTCTTTCTTTGTGCAGATGAATCGGATGTACGTTTGTTACGCGTCGATCCCCAAATGGAAACAATACGTTAACAGAGATATCTATACAGAAGCAGCGAGAGTGGTCAAACTTCCGAGACGGACTGGGCTGGGAATCAGGGATGATGAGCGATCCTAACATGAATGTTTGTTCTTAAGCGATGAAATGCGAAAGAGATACGTATAAACGGTATTGTCGCGTTATATCCGACCTAACAAGATCCTGTAAAGTTCACATGTTTTGAAAACATACTACCACTGTCCCTGGTAAACAGGGCCGGAAGTTTAAACACCGCTCTGGCATCTAAATCTAGTGACATAGTTACTTCCTAACTGCCCAAACACAATGCAAAGAACGTCTGGCGAATCACAACAGAAACATTGCAACACAGTTACAATCATTGCTTTACAATGAAATACAATGCATATAAAACTTCTCAGAATTAGAATCAGAACAAGAGAATTTGACCAAAGAGAAAAGATGCATCAGTGATATCGTTCAATAATTGTCACATAGCCAATTACCTTTCAGTGATATCCCCACCTGGATCAGAACTAACAAAAGACATGTGAAACGAACTCATATGTAAATATTCCAAAATGAAACGATCCCATATCGATTCTCCCGAGGTTAATACTCAAAAGATGTAAAGAGAGCCCATGCACCTTTACATAAATAATAATAAATACAGTGTAATGAAACCTCAACCATCAAAATATCTGGTTTATTGAGACAGTTTGGAATATATGATAAACATTAATAATTACTGGTCCTCAACTCGGAGTGTTAGAATTGTTACAAGTGGAGCCACTATACAGTCTCCTTACATAGTGAGTGAGTGAGTGAATTTGGTTTAACGCCGCTTTTAACAGTATTCCAGTTATATCACGGCGTTGGACACCAGAGTGAGTGAGTGAGTTGGGTTTAACGCCGCTTTTAACAGTATTCCAGTTATATCACGGCGTGTCAGCTTAATGTGGGAGAAAAGCCCGTAGTGATGCAGGTCTCAGACGTTTACCACTTCGTTGAAACCCAAGAACACGGGTATGGTGCTGACAAACCTAGAAACATAATCGGGGCGAAACGGGATTCGAATCGTAGGTTTCTGGCGTGCCCAAGGGACGCAACTCTTCACAGCGAATCGCGGCGCCTTAGACGACTGGGCAACCCGTGCCCAGTTTCAGAACATAGAGAAGCGTTTAAAGCTGGTAGCTACTGTTGCCAAGGTAGTCGCCATTTTATAAACATTTCACTCCTCAGAAATAGCCATCTGCGCATGCGCGGAGTGCTGAGTCAGTATATCAGCTATTTTACCTACACCAGTCGAGCACTGTAGTTAATTCGCACAGAAGTGTGCAGGGCTGAACAGCCGTGTTATACAACATAACCTTCAAACATGAAACGAATCGTTTATAGAAAATCTGTTTCCTGTTGAGGTGGGCTCCGAGCTATGTTGTATGAATACGTTTCTGAAGAAAAACAATGATTTATTTGAGACTTAAAGGGACATGGCTTTAGTAAATTGAAAGGCCAAGGAAAATTTGACTCAAATCATTCAGATGATACTTTGGGTTGGGTTGATATGGCGGACTTGTTTTGATTATTTAACCACGGCCTGTGTTATGCCTGAAGGGTAGAGTACACAGGAAGTATTTGTAGCGAGCGTGGTACACTGACGAGTTAGTTACTTATATAATCAGTCAGAAACCACAGCGGGAGGATGTGCAGTTGGAGTTGGACTACTGTCATTTGTGTTTTGTTGTTTTCCCATCGTTGTATAGGAGGGGCGCCGACAGGTAAGACTGATACAATAAAAACATACATAACTCAAGGGATGAGGTGATGTGAAATGTAGTTTAACGTCATGCTCAAGATTATTGAGTGAAAGCGCGTCTGTGTGTATTAGTACTTGAGGCTGTCATCTGAGCAATTTACACAAAATTCTATATTAAAGTCAAAACTTGGCACGAGTTTGATAGAATGTATATATATCCAGACTTGTGACTGAATTGATAGCTGTAACAGTTGGTACAGCAGTTTCAAGTTGAGTGAGTGAGTGATTAGGTTGGGTTTAACGCCGCTTTTAACAGTATTCCAGTTATATCGCGGCATGTCAGCTTAATGTGGGAGGAAAGCCCGAAGTGACGTTTACCACTTCGGTGAAACCCACGAGCACGGGTATTGTGCTGACAAACCTAGAAACATAATTGGGGGATTCGAACCCACAATCATAGGTTTCTGGCGTGTCCAAGGGACGCAACTCTGCATAGCCAATCGCGGCGCCTTAGAAGATTGGGCAACGTGTGGCCCCGTTTCAAGGTGAAGCACGAAATGGTGGAACAGTACGTTTTTTTCCAGTAAATGGTGTACAATTATTCACTCTGTTTGCGTTATACAAGTGATGAATGGGGGAGGGGAGTCATTCATTCATTCAAGGTGCACGGGTGGCCCAGTCGTCTAAGGCGCCGCGAGCGATTGTTGCGTCCATGAGGCAAACCTAGGATTGTGGGTTCGAATCCCGGTTCGCCTCGATTATGTTTCTAGGTTTGTCCGCACCATACCGGTGCTCGTGGATGGTTTAAGTGTAAAACGCATGAGACCCGCAAGACTTTCGGGCTTTCCTCCCACATTAAGCTGACACACTGTGATATAAATGGAATAATGTTAAAAGCGGCATAAAACCCAACTCACTCACTCACGAAGAAAATGGAAAATTTAATCTTAGACTTATATGTAGACGGGTGTCCAAAATAAAAACTCAACTGATAAATGTTCATACAAAAACTCAGTAAATATGTGACAAGTTATAACATCAAGCACTAAACAGAAATAAACAATACGCCACGATCAATGACACGGGACACCTCTCATTCACTCATTGGAACCCAAGCATTGTCATAGTCAAAATGTCAAGTACATAATACACGTTGTGGATATGCTTGTTAGAAACAATCTGCAGGAACGTACACGCGTGATTGTATCTTTACACTTCCATTTACAATAGCATTCTATAGCTAAAACTATTCTTGTTGCCTTTCAGCAAACGTTACCGTTGAAGGAAATGCTATACTGTCATGGTCACTACCCAGACCTACAACCAGCGAGTACACCGTTTGGAACACACGCGCAGGGAAAGCCATATTCCATATAACCAACTACAATAATGTCACTGACGTGAACTCAGAATCTAGGATCACATTTACAGGGAACATATCATCTTCTGGAACAGGATTGTTCAGATTTATCATCAGAGATGTCAAGTTTCATGACGAAGGCTGGTATGAGTGTTATTCGCGGTCCCCGGGTAGCAGAGGATTCACAATTGCTAATTGTGGACAGACACTTATCGTGATGGGTATGTATTAGGCAAATAGTATGGATACTCCCTTACTACATGTACATGTGACTTTGCTACTTTATGAGATGTAAATACATAAATATACCACGCAAAATAGGTTGAAGAACACCCGTTTTTTCATATGGCTATAGTTATATAGCTATATAATTTGTCATGGCCGGTAGGTATTAAAACATATAATCTTCCAATTGCGGGTGTTCTGTAACTAATTTACAAGTAATTAAATTGGTGTTTCAGTAAATGTGTAGTAGTTTGGAAAAGCAATTGAATTGTAAATGTTTTTATTTGACGCATTTATCTTTCAGCTGCATCAAATGTTTATATTCGTTTTGGAGAAACAGCAACTCTGGCTTGGAATTTGCATGGATCTGGAAACAAAGACTTTTTTATCAGAAACGATTTTTGGAAGGAAACAGTGTTTCACATAACGAACTATAACGAATTCAACATTGCAAATGAGAAACTAAAATCAAGACTGGAATTCACGGGAAATATAACATCCTCAGGAACTGGTCTGTTTAGCTTCGTGCTGAGTAGCGCTGACGACCATGACTTTGGTCAGTACAACTGCTACCTTGGTTCACCACAACGTCCAGGAACAAAGATTCCCAACTGTGGGCAACAGCTAGTAGTGATACGTAAGTAGTTCATTTACAGAAACACTATCCGGAATTTGAGTATGGTACCTAAGTCTACACAATGTATCAATATGTCACAAACCAGGGCAGCTGTAACAGGGTATTTTGAAGAGGGATAATGTTCATGTTTCCAGAAAAAAAGTATGTCCATTCATATAAATTTCACAGATATTTCGTCCTTTTCGCCAATGGTTTCGCGGATAATCTAGACTGATGTTTCCTTTGCATTGACAATGTATATTTACGTTGGTGATATCATCATACCGATGTCGGTATTGAACCCTATTACGACAGCATTAACAACACTTACAAATATATAAGCCACTCCATTTGCATATATGGTTATTTTTGTCAACAGGAGTTCAAGAACCTTTTATCGAGGGCCCGGAAAAGGCTTCCTTTGACGGTTCTGTTAATCTGACATGCAACTCCTTTCTGAAAAGTTACCCCAGTTGGAACCTGTCCATGAACTTTGTCTGGAGGAGGAACGGAACGAGTGTAGAGAATGGAGGAAGGCATCAGTTGGCGTCTGGTAGCAGGAGATGGAGAGGCGGGCGATACATGAACAGCACTCTGACTATCGGTGGCGTGACAAGGAAGGACAGAGCAGCCAGATACTCTTGTCAGACAGTGGTCGGGGACAATCTACTCACAGACCAGAGTGTGGACTATGTCCTTAGCGTAGAATGTATGTATTCATTACAAGTGCCACGGGTAACCTCCCATTTGTTAGACAGCCAGTTGTTGTTACACAGCTTAAAAACTTAAATTTCAAAATGGATTCACAACTAAGAAGCCAACTGTTACCTCAGATAGGTAATGGAACATCCCAGTTAGAGAATAACATAGCACCATACTAGTCTGCTCCTCTCTGCGACATAGTATATTCTACTTTGCATAAGCAAGCCATGTCGATAACATCGATATTGTTGGCACTTTAAGTGTTTAAGAAGTCGCCTTCTGCCGTAGCAATTTCGGTTGACCCTTTCCTCTTTGGGACTCATGTGTGTGAGAGTAGCTACACAATCTATTGGAGCTTTTGTACCGATAAATGTTCTGTTTTCGTTTTATTAGATTATGCTATTTTTCCATTGATTTTGAGAAAGTGGATAGAAGTTCTTTGGCTGTTCAGTGTATATAAATTCTCACCCTCAAATTAAAACAGACCCACAATAACTGTGACTGTTTAGAAATACAGTATTACAGAAATACGGTGTAAAAATACACCTCACCTACTCATGTCATTGCAACTGTCGATATTGTCATTAGTAGAAAACTGACTATGTTGTAGATGTGCCTGAGTCTCCTCAGAACACGGAAGTGCACGAGGGAGAAACAGTGTTGCTTTCCATGAGGACACCCCAACATCAGTCAAGAATATACCTTAGAGACACTAATGATAGAAATGTGTTAGAAATGGACTCTGCCGAAGTCTACATATGGGAAACCTACTGGACCAGGATCAAGATCGTGAAAGTCATCACATCATCGGATGAAGTCGCTGTACAGTTCCAACTCTCTACCGTCACATCAGCTGACGCTGGGAGGTACCACTGTAGCCTGGAGAAGGGCGGACATGCAGGCTGTGACTGGGAACACGTGCTGGTCGTTTTCAGTAGGTCAACCTGCCTTGTTACATTACATGTATGTGTTGTGTGTTGGGTTTGTTTTGTGTTTGTTTGGTGTGTGAATATTTTAAAAAAACAAAAAAACTCATATTTTAGATGACTCTGTGACTGTATCGGCTTCACCATCTGTCGCAACATCTACTACAGGTAAAGTATATGCATATGATTCATAATACTGAATCTCTCAAAATCTACCCTCCACGCTTGTAGCAAATCTTCTAACTCATATAAGCATGTGTGAATAATTCATTGACATTCGTCTCTTAGTAACAAGTACATGAATGATCCTATAAATACATCGGAATACCTAAACACGTTAAGTCAACAGTATGTAAATATTGTTTGGTGAAAGGTGGGTGAAAGAGGAAAATATTCAGAATTTATGTCATTATTATTTTAATAAACATCACATATATTTTAGATGACCCTGTGACTGTACCGGTTTTAGAAGTATGTATGAATGTATGTATGTATGTATGTATGTATGTATGTATGTATGTATGTATGTATGTATGTATGTATGTATGTATGTATGTATGTATGTGTGTGTGTGTGTGT